TACAACCTTTACACAAGAGCTTAGGATTCCTGCCAGTAATTCTGGGGGACAAAGGTTTAATTTCCCACTCTGGAAGCAAGGACTGTGAGCTCAGCTCATCTCCTTCCTAGGTGAGTGCTCAAACCTCCAGGCTATCATACATTTTGGGATGCGTACCATTTTCCTCTGTTGAAGCTATTCTACCTTATATAACTGTGAATTTTCACTGAGCCAAGGAAAGAATGACTTTTCTTAGCCTTGTGGTTAAGGCACTCAGCTGGGAGAGATAACAGATATGTACTGAAATCTTCTTTCTTCCAGACTTCAAGGAGGGATTTGAATCCATTTTATAGAGATTGACTTGTGTCCTTTAGAACTGTGGTCTGAATTTGCACTTTACATCTCAGCAGGGGTGAGAAATCTCGGGCACACTGTCTGGATGCAGTTCATCAGGATTAGCCACTGGCAGGCCACCAGATGGTTTGTTTACCCGAGTGTCTGCAGGCAGGGCTGCTTGCGGCTCCCATTTCGCTGCCAGTAGCTAACCCTGATGAACCTTATGCAGCACATAGGTCAAAGCTTCCCCATCCTGACCTAAAGCTATGTTTACACTACAGCATATGATGGCATAATATAGGAATACATCACCTCGCTCAGTGACATAAGTTACACCAACATGCTTCTTCCATGGACGTAGCTTCTGCCACTTGTGGGGGATGGAATGGTTAAGCAGACAAGGGAGCTGTCTCCCACCAGCTTAGAGTGGCTATGTTACAGCACTCACTGTGGAACAGCTGCAGTGCTGAAAATTCTCCAGTGTATCTGTTCCCAAAGACAAATCTTTGCTTCAATACAAATGCAGGGTTTGGCCTACTTTCCAGGAGTCATGCAATCCTGTTTGCTGAGTTGCATCTTGCATGTTATATTGTTAGACAGGACTTTGGAAATCATGGACATTTTCCCTCCAAATACAGATTTATGATACAGGAAAGTGATTAATCTCATGGGAATGATGCTTAGTAGCTTTTTTCAAGTTCAGGGCCTAACTCTTCATTTGCTATTTCCAGTTGATCAGGCTATACATTTTAAACTCATATGATGACATTCTGTCTCCATTGTAGTCAATGGCAAAACTCTCAGGCTGTGTCTAGACTGGCATGATTTTGCACAAATACTTGTAACGGAAAAGTTTTTCCATTAAAAGTATTTGCGCAAGAGAGCGTCTATACTGGCACGTGCTTTTGCGCAAAAGCATCCGTGCCAGTGTAGATGCTCTCTTGCGCAAGAAAGCTCCGATGGCCATTTTAGCCATTGGGATTTCTTGCGAAAGAAATTAATGTTGCTGTCTCCACTGGCCCTCTTGTGCAAGAATACTTGCTCAAGAGGGCTTATCCCTGAGCGGGAGCATCAGAGTATTTGTTCAAGAACCACTGATTTTGTACATTACAAAGTCAGTTTTTCTTGCACAAATACTCATGACCAGTGTAGACAGGCAGCAAGATTTTGCTCATTGTGCAAAATCATGCCAGTCTAGATGCAGCCCCATTGGCTTCACTGCGGGCTTGGATTTCACCCTTAGGGCCAGATGGTTGAACAGACAGACAAAAAATATTAAGACGATACACAACTTTATCAAGGAACATTGGCAAAACTGTAGTTCATATGCTAGCAGAAATGAGGTAGCCAATGCCACAGTTACTTCTGCTGCCTGTGGGGTTGTAGGCATCGATGAGCATGATCTGGGACAAAGGCCATGTTTGTTCTACTGGCTAGGTCCACTCATGCTTCAGGCACTTACCTTATTCCATCTTGTAACATATATGAAAAAGAACAGATGTTCAGGGCCACCCCTCTTCCTTGCAGGGTCTGCCCTTGATGAATAGGCTGTCCTCATGGTGTAGTTCAGGGAGAAAGATTTAAAAAGGGTCATTTAGCAATGTTTTTCTTTAAGCCCCAATTGCTGGGATCAAGAGAAAGGAATGGGAATCTCAGCTTCCTTTTTTTAAATAAAATCAATTTCTAACTCTCATAGTTGGGAGAAAAAAATTTATCATGGAGTAAGGACACCCTAATGCCTCAGAAATCAGAAGACAAATAAAAATAAAGGCAAATAAACCAGGAGACAAACAAATACCCTTGTTATTTTAAAGCTAGTCTCATGATTGGGAAGTGGGAAGGGCCCTAACTCAGTTTTTGAAACATTTGGGGCTGGCAGTACTGCTGTGGGGGATGATAGAGCCCACCTGCCCAGTAGCGGTGGATGGAACAATCTGGATAAAGAGATTGCTTGCGGTAAAGCCTGCTGATTGCTCATCCTTAGCCTCCCTCAGCACCTCAAGACATGTAGATTTGCAGACAGCACTGGATGCATCTGTCCCTTCCCCATGGAAGCTCTACCAGTCCTGAACAAAGACACACATTTTGGTCTACACCGATTTCCTCCATTCTAACTTAGATGAGGGTTGGATGCATGTGTGACGTAGTGGGGGTACCTGGCTGGTTTCTATGCTGCTGGTTCTGGGGTAACCCCCACTGGCTGCCGTGGGTACCACAACCCAGCAAAACAGGATGAGTCACTATGCAAACCAGTGGCCAGACACACCCCATGGAGAGGAACAAAGGAAGGTGGAATGCTGCCCTGGCTGGGGGGCAGGGCTGGAAGAGAGTTAGTTAGTTGGTGGCTGTCTGGGAGCAAGGAGGAGACAGCCTAGGGAACAGGGCTGGAGTTTAGGGGCCCAGTCTCCCCCCATCTCAAGGGGGCCTGAGGCATCCTAGCCCAGCTCGGGGACCAGATTACATCTGTGCTGCGCTGTGCTGTATCCTGGAGAGGCAATAAATTTCCTCTATTTCACCGGCTGTTGCAGTCTGTTTGTGCCATTTCGGGGTGCAGGAGACGGGGGACCCCCAACGCGCCGTCACAGCATGTAACTCAGTCTATGTCTACACTACAGGCTTCTTGCACAAGAAACCTTTTGCGCTAGAGATTTTGCACAAGAGCACGTCCACACCTCAAAGCACATCGCAAAAGTAATGTGCTTTTGTGCAAGAGAGCGTCCACACTGCTGGTCACAGAATGGTCACAGAGGGTATGTCTAGACTACATGGCTCCGTCGATGGAGCCATGTAGATTTGTTTATTGGGCAAAGGGAAATGAAGCGGCAATTTAAATAATTGCCGCTTCATTTAAATTTAAATGGCTGCCACGCTGAGCCGACAAACA